GGGGTATGTAATTTATTTCAGAAACACTTATTGTTATATTCCATGAAATGCTCTTAACATCCCGATAGCAATGCATATATGAAATGCTTTGACAATAAATACATACAAAATGTTCATCTGTGGAAGCCGTAGCGCTGTAAAAAGCACGACCAATCATTTTAGCCGGCCCGGCTAAAATAGCTGGATGGCCTACCTGCCTGTCAACCTGAGAGGGGTCTGCCTGCAAGCTCCACTCTCAAGAACCTCCACTCTCACGGAGGTGATGAGTCCGCTCACCATGCACTTTGGGTCGGCCTTGGGCAGGCCTTTTGAACCCCCCATCCTGGTTCTCGTAATAGTTGACTTAGCCATTTTTCGCTCAAACCATGGAGGAAGTTAACAGGGGACTCTGCCCGCCTCACGAGTGCCTATTTTCGGACACTTTTTGTCACTTTTCCCTTTATTTCCCCCGGTTTTATTAATTTGTCTTTTTTTGGCTATTTCACCCGGTTCCTTCTAACGGGGACATAGCCCGGTCTCGGGTGTCCCCTCACGGCCTGTGTCCAGCCAAAATGCACTTATTTGTGCATAAATATATAGATCTATATATCTATTTTTATAGATATATATTATAGATATAACTATATATCTTTATATATAGAGAGATTGCTATTGTTTCATGTGAAAAATGTTCTCAGGAAAATGTATGGTACAATATTTTTGCCACAGTTTGTATAGGAAGCTCAATTTCATTGTATCCAAATGAAACACTCAAGTTTTAATAAAAGGTAAAACTTTATTTTTGTGTCTTTTTTCTTTTTTGTAGTTGACGGAATAAAAAATATAAATACGAAATGTAACCACTTTCAACTAAAAATTCTAAGTTAAATAATTGGAAAAAACCAATTGATATTACACAATATTTTAAGTAAAATCAACTTCACATGAAGTGCATTGTACTTCAAATAACAATTCCAGTCCTTGAATAATTTAAGTTAAATTCACTCAAGTTTTCCTAATGCATTACTTAAAAAAAATAGAAAGTGGTTGACTTAAAAATGTAAGTAAAATCAACTTGACATGAAGTGGATTGTACTTCAAATAACAATTAAAGTCCTTGATTAATTTAAGTTTAATTTACTCAAGTTTTCATAATGCTTTACTTACATTTTGAAAGGCAACCACTTTACGCTATTTTTTCAAGTAGATTCAACTTATCAGGGCTTACGCAGCTATTCCTCAAAAAACATGTTTTGGATATCATGCCATTCAAATTTTAAATTTAAATTTTAAGAAATTGTAGTTTTTGTATTACTACCCCAAGCTTCCATAAGTGGGTCAAAAATTACCGCATGCATTTTCTATGGAATTTTGTTGTTTATTAAAAATGTAAAAAAAAAATCAAACATTTTAAATAACGAAAAATTAAATATAAAGTATTTCTAGTGTGAACCACTTATGGAAGAGTGTAGGGTCCAGTCACTCATGCATCTAAGGGTTAATCGAGCCAAATAGAACAAGAAACAGCCAGCAACAGAGATGGAGTAGGCCTACTGAGTCCTGGACTCGAGTGCCGATTTTCGGGACTCGTGACTCGACTCGGACTCGCGCACTGATTGATGCGACTCGGACTTGGACTCGTGAATTCTCGCGCACGATGACTTGGACTCGGACTCGTGAATTATCGCGTACGCTGACTTGGACTCGGGATTCCCCCCCCCTCGAGCAAATTTTCTCTGGAGTCTGATATCCTCAATCCTGGCGCGTGCACCTGCGAGGCGAGTTCACGTACTGGGCCCCGCTATTCCAGTCTAAAGATGTCTAGAGACACACCCCGCATCGTGCTGTATGCTTTCACACATTCTGCTTCCACATTGGAAAAGAGCAGAGCAAAATGCTCCTTATGTGGAAAAAAAGATTAAAGAGAAGGCTTCGTAACACATTACTCTAAGGATCGAGTTCAGACATACAGTATAGGCTGTGTTGAACACTATCATCAGAGTAACGTGATCTAATCAATAAATAAAGATTCAGCCGATAACATAAAGCACATGGCTACTTAACATGCAGAATCACGTCATTTGGATGCTAAGTAGCAATGTGCTTTCTGGGGCCAAACTTTATCAGTAAACCGATTTAACCGGTAAAAGTTCCTTCAAAATAAGAGTCCCGATCTTATTACTATCAAAATAAAAGTGCAAAACGAAAACTTTACCATAGGAAAATATTGGCATACAAATATAATCACTTCTCTAAAAGGTAACTCATTTCAAATATAGTTTATTTATATATAATAATAATAATAATAATAATATTAATATTAGTAATAAGCTTTATATTTGTATAGCACCTATTACAAGAATTGTAGCCAAACTCGCTTCACAGCAGTTCAATAGACAGTTTAGTATAACATGACAGGATAAAAGCAATGTAGAGGAGCAGCTACATTTCAACACATATATCCACGAAGATTAATACATGAAGACTTGTGACTCGGACTTGACTTGGACTCTTCTTAGGTGACTAGGACTCGGACACTCCTTGGGTGACTCGGACTTGGACTCGGACTCGAACACAGGTAATGATGACTCGGACTCGACTCTGACTCGACTCGGACACTCCTTGGGTGACTCGGACTTGGACTCGGACTTGGACTCGACTACGACTCTCCCTTGGTGACTCGGACTCGGACTCGAAGAGTGGTGGCTCGAGAGTGACTTGGACTCGTGAATTGGTGACTTGACTACAACACTGGCCAGCAACCACTACATCTCCTATCAGGCTCTGAAAGCGCTTCTGAGTACTTCATATTCAGCTTTCCTGTCATGTCTCACATTTCACCAGCAACATCTTGCTTACAAGGCCGAGCGGCAAAGCAGCACAGCAGCAGCTCATCGTCCACTGACACTGGTTCTGTTCGCACGCTCTGACACCGCTCACAACATCATGTACCTTTCTTACCAATATATGTAAGTAATGAAGAAAAGGTTCAAGAGTCAATATAACAGTCATATGAAATAGATTTAAAAAACATAACTATAGCTAGCTGTTGTAAATTACCAAAAATCGAATACATTTTACTTCATTGTGTTAATAACACCTGTTTTCTGTTATAATTTACTGCAATTTATAATCCACTTTAACGCAATTTGTAATAGATGATTGGTTATTAAACATACATGCATTATGTAATAACCGATAAGATGGATGATATCTTTGCCTGCACACGTTATATTTTTAGGAAGGCTTAGGACAATTGTGACACTTTAGTTTCGGCTAGTAAAATATAATCTACCAATTTATTGAACGACCTTCCCCTTTCCTTTGTTTTTCAGTGTATAAAGTGCTTGTACTACCTTGTTGGTGCAAGACTCTGTCTTTTCAGCAGAAATAGATGAAGTCTGTTAAATGCTTTTACTTTTATTGTCTTTATTAAATAACAAAACGTTGCTTTAAACTTCTATTATTTGTTCATTTCTGTCACGATCTTGGTGTTATGTCACGTTTTGGTGTTGTCTGTCTGGTATGGGTTTTGTTTTGCTGTTCTGTTCTTCCTGTCTCTTGTTTTTCTCCTGTGTCGGATTGTCTCATTGTGTTCACCTGTTGCACTTGTGTTTCTGCTTCCCTTACTCAGCTGTTTCTCGTCCCGTGATTACCCCTCTCTGTATTTAGTCTTTCCCTGTGTTCCCCTGTCGGTTCATTGTTTGTCTTTCCTGTCTCCCTCCATGTCAGTCACGGTCAGGTTTTTGGTAATGTATCTTCCTTGTGCTACCGTGGTGTTTTATGCCATGTTATTTGCCATCAGCTTTTAAAATAAAGCTCGCTTTTGTTTTCTAGACCTTTTTATCTCTTTTTGTAGTCTGCTTTTGGGTCCTACCTTTTCCGCGATCTTAACAATTTCATACCAAAGAGGTTGATTTTGTGTGGAATTTCCTCCACAGAATTGTATTTTAAAATGTTTATTTTGAGTCAGTAAGACCCATGCTTGGATAAATGAAATACATGATGTTTTATAATGTTCAATTGTGGTTGCTTTATACCAGGTTATAACATAGTTATTAAATGTATTAACACTATTTGCAATGTTTGTTTAACATGACATTTTAGTGTGGGTTTTATTATTGAAGTGAAGATGTATTACATTTGGTTAGTGATACTTCACAATATGCTGTTACATTACACCCCAATGACCCAGATTGCATCAACAGGTTTTTACTTCACACTAAATACCTCTGCTTATACCCAAAGATAACTGAACAGAACATAATGTGTTTTAAATGGGCAGAGTGCCCCTGTACAGTATGTTTTACTGCCAATATCAGACATTTATGAGCTGAAAAATTCACCGATTCCCACTTTAACAGGGGAAATAAAAAACAATGTCTTGTAATCCTAGTTATAATAAAAGCAGACGCCCGGGGGATCATCCCTTAGCTGCCCTGACAGCAGATCACACTCACTCACAGTAAAGGGAGTAGGACTGGAGTTTTCATATTTATGATCCATAGTGTTATATCAGGTCTGAAAGTTAAAGCTCTCCGCACAAAAACTGAAAAACCCCAGGTAAAGTTTACGTCATAGGTTTAAAGTATGATTCATTAAAGGCATTCAATACAGCTTGTTTGTGTAAAACAGTATTGATGTTCAATTAAATTCAAAAGCGTACAGGAAGTTCAGGCAGGAACACTCGATGAACCTTCAAAGCACAATCATTGGAGCTCAGTACTTGCATATACAGATCATATAAATACACATGTTATGGAGGGACTACAGAAAAATCAAATTGCAAATATGTTGAGAGTCCAGTAAAGAGGTGGAGGTGCTGATGGAGAGCAACAGGCTGTGACAAGCAGCCACTGCAGGGAATAATGAGGGGCTGCGAAAGGTTAAGTGACCAACAAGGACCTGTGTGTAATGCCTCGTTTAGAAAATGTCACTTGTGTCCATTACTGTGTAACTCCAAAAGAAGCTCCAAACCCTAACAGTGTGTAACGTGCAGAGATTTGGGTGAGGTAACTCACTTGAATGAATGGAAACAGGAGGCCCACAGCGAAGTTACACAGCCAGTTCACTATTCCAGCGATCATGAAGGCGGCAGGTCTGTAGGACTGTTCGAACAGTTCCCCTGTCAGCACGAAGGGGATGCCACCTGACAAAGACGGGGAATATCATTAGTTACGACAAATCACAGGACATTTTCTTTTTTGTATTTACTTGCACTATTTTTTCAGTTTTTCAGTTTTATTGTGTTGCACTGGTGGTGGAACCTGTGACCTAAGATTTTCATTGTCATAACTACACTGTAGCTATGTACGTATGACTAATAAAAGCCTTGAACCTTGAAATACAGAAGTTTACATTTGTGTTGAGTTCAATGATCAATAATCTCTCTCCAGAATCGCTGACTCCACCTTTCGGGGATATCATCTTTTTCTGATACAAGAGCCACGTTATGTTATGAATAGTCTGAACCTCTTGTTCTGTTCCCACAACACATACTCCTGTTTATTGGAAAAAAACTCAGATAAAACTCACATTACCGTTTCATGGCCACTGCAAAGATAGAATCAGCAATTTGTTTGACTACATTGAAATCTTGGGTGTATCAAGTTCAACTTGTGAAATGAAAATATAAACTAAACTAAAAGATGTGGATGGTAAGACTAAACTTCAGAGCCAAAAACAACCTCAAGGACCAGATTTAGTGGCATCTGCGGAGGTGGGTATCCGAAAACTGAAAATCATATTCTCAGAAAACCTGGCCTTCAAACAGAAAGCAAAAGGACCTGTTGGTTTATCCTTTCGGGGCTGCTGTAGAAATGTGATTAACTCTGTGAAAGAGAACCAGCAGCCTACATATAAAATAATAATGTAACCCTTGTATGGTATTCGGGTCTGTAGGACCAGTTTTCATTATTTAGCTAAAGAACAATTATATATAAATGATAAATAATTTTTTTAAACCCACACTCAATGGCCTTGGCTCATTTTCTGTGAAGAACATATATCAGAACACATTTTCAATGACCACCCACTGTACCCCCCCCCCCCACACATTTACATTACATACAGGGTGTTCGGGTCAACTGGACCCACGGCTAACTAAAGTGTGGAGATTGTAAGTCCTGTGCACCTGTCTGGGCCTTCTGTGTGTGTGTGTGTGTGTTTGTGTGTGTGTGTATGTGACTTTTTTGTTTCTGCCCCTGCCATTCCCGCACAAGGTTGCAACATTGTTGATAAACTAAAGCACCGACACCTGTCTGCTCTCACATTCCCGCATTATGCCTTGCGGGAACCAATCTTTATTTTTTTCACACTCTATTCAACCTGCAAATTTGGGGCAAGACACAATAAATAAAGCTTCGCCAGTTTGGGTCCTTATCACAACTGATCAAGTTGGCCAAAAGATTCTCTGCTCAGAGGGCCTTGCAAATTATTCTGGACGAAAGAGAACCATTTGATGATGATGTAGAGGAAGAGGCTTCAGAATGTGAGGATCACATTTCTGAGAATTCTGAGTCTGACAGTGACTTTGAAGAAGAGGAAGAGATTGAGCATCAACTAGTGACAAAGAAAAGACGAGCCACAGGACCAGCCGGTCAGTGGGGAAAAAAAACAAGTAGCACTTTAATTCATTAATGTGATCTAACAAATGTAAAAGGGCAAATATTAACCATATATGCTGTTTATATTGCTTGTAATTGAGATGAAGTAAACATCTGTTGAGTATTTTAACATAAAATAGTTTGATTGTGTTGAATTGAAGCCCAAAAAGGCAGCGGGTCCACCAGACCCACGAACACTGGCTGAGTAACACAAATATGAACACCATACAACGGACCACTATTGCGGTAAGCATGTTGTAACTTCCGGTTGTTGTTGTCACCTCCGGGTATCCTGTGTGCCTGTTCTGCTGCTGCTAGCTTATTATCTTAACTTAATCGATCGTTTTAAAACTCTTGATCACGGCAACTGCCTGACGTTGTAATCACACGTTACTACAGCTTAAGCACTCACAACTCTCCTTCTCTTAGCGACTGTAACTCCACAGTTTCCTACACTCTTTTCGGGTTTGCTAACGGTAGCTACTTTAGCTTTACATGGCTCTTTCCCCACCCTCGGGTGCTATTTCCTGCTCTATGTGGAGTCTATTTATAACATTACAAAATTCTTACTATTACATTATTTGCTTATTGTGCTCATTGTATGTGCTGTGACTTTGGAATAAATGGACCCAATCACCCCCCCCCCCAAGTTTTGATGGGGTGGACAGGAACGTAGGGAAAAGTTACATGAGAAAGTGTTTAGCTTGCAATATTGAAAGTAGCAAGGTCAGGTGCAGAGACTGAGAGAATACAAAGAGGTAGTTAGAACAGCACATCGCACCGGCCTTGACTCTGTATGGGAGCCGCGCTCCCCCGCAGAGCTAGGAAGCACCATTATGGTTTTCCGCTATATCTGAAGAAACGTTAGAGAAAACAAATGATGTGTGTTAGAGACAGAGTAGGGAGGGACCTCGCCAGCTGGCCAAATGATGATTGGAGGATCGTGTTGCCAAGAGACTCTATCTGAGTCTGTGCACCAACCAAAGAGAACCAAGTCTAAACCGCGGTATCTCTTCAGCTAGTCTTGACCAATCATAAATGTACGGGCAACGCCCTGTGTAATAACATGTATTGTCACACAAGGTTCGGGGCTCTTGACGGATTCGGTGGTTACAGATTATAGCTTTGCTAGCTGTGATTTCCGAGACGTGACTTGGCCAAGTGAATATATATTTTGCTCTCTTTACAATAAATAGTTAAACTTAGAAGTTGTCTGTCTTTTCTGGAATTCTGAACCCAACATCTACCTGTCTCATGTTTGGTTATTCCCCTACCTCCTTTACTGGTACCGATACATGTATTAAATGTAGTATAGTTGTTAGGTTGGAGGCGGGTATCATAGCCATAGTTAGCCCGGCTCCGCATCTTAGAAAGTAACTCAGCTACAGTAAAGCCCATGTTAGCCGGTGCGGACCGGCAAAAGGTAGCTCCTCTTAGCCGTCCCCCGGCAACTCCCGAGCAGCAGGGAGACTGGGCGACTGTTCAGAAGGGGCATAACGCGAAACCCGCAGGTCCCCACCAACCCGTTCACATATCTACCAGATATTCCCCACTCAGCGAGGCACCCGCTGAGAAGTCAACTCTGGTTATTGGTAGCTCTATTATGAGACACGTGAAATTAGAGACCGAAGCCTCCACAGTCACATGCATTCCGGGGGCCAGAGCAGGCGACGTTGAGGCGCATCTTAAACTGCTGGCTAAAAATAAACGTAAATACAGTAGGATTGTTATTCACGTCGGTGGTAATGATGTTCGTTTACGCCAATCAGAATGCACCAAACTTAATGTGGAGTCGGTGTGTAGTTATGCTAAAACAATGTTGGACACCGTAATCTTCTCTGGTCCCCTCCCCAATCTGATCAATGACGACATGTATAGCCGCATGTCATCATTTCAGCGCTGGTTGTCTTGGTGGTGCCCAGCAAACAATGTGTGCTTCGTAAATAATTGGACAGCCTTCTGGAGAAAACCTGGTCTGATTAAGAGAGACGGCATTCATCCTACTTTGGAAGGTGCAAATCTCATTTCGGCAAACATTTCAGGGCTTTGTGGACTTAATCCATGACAAACGAGTTGAGACCAGGAGGCGGAGTCGCAGTCTTACACGCTTCTCTGCGCTCTCTCCTAGGCAGTCATCCATAGGAATCCCGAACCCAATAAAATACCCAATATTAGCGGTGTGTGTGTCTGCCCAAGGACAAGTTAAGGTAAAACCTAATAGAGGTGTCATACATAATAACCTAATAAAAGTAAATGTAACAACTACTACAGTGCAACAAAACAGGAAGATTAAATGTAGTCTCTTAAACATAAGATCTCTAGCACCTAAAGCAATATTGGTAAATGATTTAATATCAGATTATAATATTGATGCTGTCTCACTGAAACTTTGTTGAGACATGAAGAATATGTCAGCATAAATGAGGCCACTCCACCCAGCCATATCAATACTCATATTGCCCGAGGCACAGGCCGAGGAGGTGGAGTTGCAGCAATCTTTGACTCAAGTTTACTTATCAATACTAAACCAAAATTAAATTATATCTCCTTTGAAAGTCTCGTTTTCAATCTTATTTGTTACAGTGTACCGTGCACCAGGTCCTCGTTCAGAGTTTTTATCAACTTTGGTTCTTAAAACAGATAAAGTAATTATCGTAGGTGACTTTAATATTCATGTTGACGATGATACAAATAGCCTTACTGTTGCATTTAACTCTATATTAGATTCTGTTGGTTTTTGTCAGTGTAAATAAACAAACCCACTGCTATAATCACACTCTCGACCTTGTTCTGACTTATGGTATTGAAATTGAGCAACTATTAGTTGAACCGCATAATCCTGCTTTATCCGACCATTTCTTAGTAACTTTTGAAGTACTGTTACGAGACTACAAAGCATTAGTCAGAAGCTCCTGCAGCAGAAACCTATCTGTTAGTGCTATAGCCAAATTTAAGGAAGAGATTCCACCAATACTTAACTCGATAGCATGTCTGCATGTAAGGGAGGAAACTTATACAAAATGTACACCACCCCAAATTGATCATGTTGTTGATGGTGCCATAGATGCGCTGCGAATAAAATTAGACTCTGTTGCTCCTTTGAAAAAGAAGAAAATAAAACAACATAGATAAGCTCCATGGCAAAATGCCGAAACCCGCAAAATAAAGCAAAAGTCGAGACAATTGAAAGGATATGGCGTTCCACTAAACTTGAAGAATCTCGTTTAATTTGGCATATTACTCTCAATGAATATAAGAAAGCACTGCGTAAAGCGAGAGCAGCCTACTACTCTTCATTAATAGATGAGAATAAGAATAATGCAAGATTTCTTTTCAGCACTGTAGCCAGGCTGACAGAGAGCCACAGCTCGATTGAGCCTTCTATTCCCATAGCACTCAGTAGTAATGATTTTATGTGCTTTTTTAACGATAAAATTGTTATTCTTAGAAACAAAATTAATGACCTCTTGCCTTTGACCAGTATAGTGTTATCAACAGCTCCCGGAAACGTAAGTTCTAATATTACACTAGATAGTAAACTAGA